TCCGCATCACCCCCACCCCCGGCCACGTCAAGGAGCACCGCGACCATCTGGTGCAGGCTCTGCAGACCGTCTGGAACGACCTGGGCATCAAGCGCGCCAGTGACTGGGAGGCCCAGGGTGGCTTCGTCGGCGTGGGCGTCGAGGGTGCCGAGGCCGCCAACCAGCCCATCTGGGAGGACGCGCAGCTGGGCCTGCAGCCTAGCGAGACCGTCGAAGCTGCCGTGACACGGGAGTTCCAGACTGCCGCTGCCGAGGCGCTCTCCCAGGCCGCTTCCCGCATGCAGACCGCCACTCCGGTGCGCCCTGCCGCTGCCACCGCTGCCTCGATCGCCGTGGGAGTGGCTGCCGCTTAAGCCTATCCGGTTTAGGCTATTAAGGTGGTGGTCTGGATGTTACCACATCCAGCACAGTTGATCGTTATCATTACTATTCTCCCTCTGCTGGCGGATCAAACCCCAGCATGACCATATGACCAGACTCTGGACATTTGCCTACTATAATATGAAATATGAAGGTGGATGAAGACACATGGAACCGGCCAGTCGTTACCGATGATTTTGGGTTCTAGATCGAATGATCATGTCTATTCCTCATTATGCTCCAACAATTTTCCTAGTATTATCGTAGATGTAGTACGTACCATGCCTTCGCCCATTGAAGACAACTATACCAAAAATGAAAGAGAATGTTCGATGTCAGAGCCGTCACTGTACATAGTAGTTACCAATCAGCACAGCCCTCGATGTCATACAGTCTTCCTGTAAACAATGTACCTTTGAAGACTTGGCCAGTTTCAAAGAGGACAGATAGCATGAAGCTTCCTGTAAAAGCCTTACGGATGACCAGCTGGCTTTATGGGAAAATGAGATCAGAACACCCACCCCTAATGACTTAATATGGGTTGGAGTACATGTCATCATCACACTCGATGATATCATATCCACTTCAGCAGAAGTCAATATACTTACTGACAAGTGTGTAGTTTAATACTAAATCATCGATATTTGCGCGGAGAGAGAGAGAGATTGAGTTATTCATGGTAGTATCAAATTTTATTGTCAATTACTACTACTTAGTAGTAGTAGTAGTAGTAGTAGTAGTAGTAGTAGTAGTAGTAGTAGTAGTAGTAGGAGGAGGAGGAGGAGGAGGAGGAGGAGAAATATCTATTACATCATGGTTAGTTAGTAGAAGTAGGTGCATAAATAAGTAATTTATGAAGAGAAAGGAAGAAAAAGAACTTATTAAAAGTGCAATGGACCTTGGATGCATAATGGTGGTGAATATTGAGTAACTTCGTAGTGTAGATGATGTATTTACACACAATGAATACAGTCAGGATATAGTTGAGTGCAGAGGCTACTACTACTACTACTACTACTACTATTGAAGCTAGTACTACTGATCGTACTTAGTTATTAGTCTTCACTTTCATCGCTGTTACTTAAGTCAAGTGGAGTGAGTTGGCAGTCCGGAATCCTTGCTAAGTATACTTAGTGATTGAGAGACGTAGGGTAACTATATATCCAAGTAGTATTTATATACTTCCTACCATATTATGTCATGTCGTAACATACTGCACAATTGGTTTCCAAGACACCAGATGTGCATCGAATAGGTTAGTACTACTAGTAATATCTACCTAGGAGACATCGAGGTGAAGTAATTATTTATCTACAAGTAAACTACAAACTACTGCAAGTTCTTGAACAAACCCAAGTGGTTCAGCTGAAGAAAGTAGAAAAACGACGTTCTTTTGCCAATCCATCCATACATACAGAGAAATAATGCTAACTTACAATCAATCAATCAATCAATCACACCCAAACAAACCCTCGCCATCAAATCCACTACCTCCGTCCACCACCACGACTAACCTTCGGGAACTCAACGGGAATCTTCAACCTAGCAACCCGTCTAGCCGCAGCCTCGGCCTTACCACCCTTAATACCCCATTTAGCAAACTCCGACTCGCGGGGCTTGTCGACGCGGCAACCCAACTCGCGGAAATACTGCGTGATCGCCACGTTATCGAGGCGCAGATCATCACGGAGATCCGAGGGATCGGTAGCCAGCTCGTTGGGGGCGTTTCCACCGGCGGAGCTGTTACCACCGTCCTTGGAAGGTTGGGGCGGGATGTGCAGCGAGAGGGCGCAGATGGTCGTGTGGAGGAAGGTGATGTCGTTCTTGGAGAGGGAAGCACCCTGGGGCGCGAATTTGCGGCGCACGGCGTCGATGACCGGGTCCGCGATCTGGTCGCCGCTGGCGGAGTTCTCGCTGATTGTTCCACCGGAGAGGATGCGGCGGAGGTCTTCGCGGGGAGGGAGACGCTTGCTGCCGGGGCCGGCGGACTTGTCGCGGCCGGGACGGAGACCGCGGGCGAGTTCCAGGAGGAGGAGGATGAAGCGGAGGATCTGGAGGTGGGTGGTGTTGCCGGAGAGGGCGACGGCTTCGACGCGGCGGGAGACGTACCGCGAGGTGGTGTTGACGGCGGCGCCGGAGTTAACGGTGTCTTGCCATTCTTTGACGTTGGGGAGTTGGCGCAGGGTGGCCAGGCCGTTGGGGACGAGGACGTCAAGAGGATAGACTTCTGACGGGTGTGCAGCGTCCAGGTTGGCCTGGGGCAGAGGCTTCGCGGCTTGAACCTGCGCTTGCAGGGCGGCAGCCTTGGAGGCGATATCTGTGGCTGCGTCGGCAGGCATGGCGCCCAGGATGGCGGTTTCGGCGGCGGAGGCAGCGCCTGAGGGCACGTTGGAGAGCTGAGCGTTTTCGGCAAGCGATTGAGCGGCCTTGCGAGATTGTTTGGTACCGAAGGTGTTGGTGAGTTCTGTTCTTTGAGCGCGCATGGTTTTCTAGTAAGGGTTGGATGGTCAGCCAATGTCCGGTGAAGACCATGGAGGACAGGATTGAGCGAACCATTTCTTCCTCTTCACTCTCCTCCTCTGACTCTTCGTCAATCGCTCTCATCTTGCGAACGGCGCCACGCAGGGTCATCTTCCGCACTTCGATGAACTGCCAGGTTTTGTTCTCCGGGTCCACGACCGCGACGTAGTGCTTGAGCTGGGAGTCGGCATCCTCCTCGGCCTCGCGACCCACGAAGTCCAGCTTGGGGTGCTCGGAGGACTGAAGCAGCAATTCGGACGAGACGATGCCCTTGTTCCGTGACGACGAGGAGGAGGTTTTGCTGCGGGTCTTGAGGTATGGGTTGAGGCGGAGATTGCGCGGAGCGTTGAGACCGGGAGTAGTGACTGAAGTGCATTACATTAGATTATTCCCATACCATATGACCGTACCATGAGGGCAGTGAGGGCATGTGTAAAAAAGGTGCAGCATACTGATCACCGGAGCTAGTTCGCTATCATCCTCCACGACGCTGGAGGCCAGCGGAGGCAGATCTTGCAGCTCGAGCGCGGGCTTCTTGCTAGGCCTTTCATGGCGATCGGAGGCGCGCTTGCGCTTCTTTTCGACCTTATCGGACGGCATTATGTCTGGATAAGGAATTGAAGGAAAATGCGACGCCGCGGAGAGAGAATTGACTGGTAGGGAGATTATCGGGCAGGTGGAGGGAAAATTCCACGAAAAAAAGTTGAAGGCGGTCAGGCGGGCTGTGAGCGGAAGGCGGAGAAGACCCCAGGGCGGGCAGGTAGCCTTCATGCGCACACAATCTTCCTAGTTCAATATGGTCCTATCATTATAGTCTGATTGATAATTTTGGATATCTTCGAGTACTGTTTTTCTACAAGATCATGCTACAGTGGTTTTGAAGATTTACTGGGAACATCATGTGCGTCGTAAACTTTTTGGTATTTGGAATAAATTCTCATGACCTCTCCATGGCCCGGAATTCTATCGGATTTCCCCAATAGAACCCAGGACACGAGAAATTGACCAGTCCCCACGCAAAGCTCATCGGTAATGGCAAAGAGTAAGATAGTACAGGAATACAGAAAGACCATTCGACTCTCCCACCATGCCTTCCAACCCCACCAAACACATTCGTACCTCCGAAGGAAAAGATGCGGCACTCGCACCCCCACTGTCTGGATCAAAAGGAAATCAAGAGAAGATCGAAAACGTTATAACGAGCCCGAGGGATTGGATGTGTAGATGAAACGGCGGGCTCCGAAGTCGATTGCACCGAGAATGTTGTGGCAGACCAGACAGGCCTCGATTGAGATACCGAACCACGTAACGATCATAACTGGAATCATCATCGTGACGTCGTCGCAATTGTCATGTTTAGCGTTCAAACTGAGCGTTCACATGAAGAGCTGAGATGGAGTGGGCGAGTCATTTATTTGCTGCGGAATTGGTTAGTCGATTGCCGGTTTGATTTGATTTGCTCATTGTTTTGGATAGCACTCACGATCTAGCTCTCATCTTTCTTCTCTTGCGCTTGAGGCGACGGACGCGCTTCTTTCTCCACTTGGCTCTCATCTTCGAAGAGAATTCGAAACTGATACCAGTCAGTCAGTCACTGTTGACCCAGCTGGACGACAAAGCGCTGCAACCAGTGCAGGCTGGGAGGGGGTACTCACACTTCTGCGAGGATGAAGAGATGGTTGCAAGAATGATGGAGAGCGGCCGCGGTTGAGCTTCTTGTGTGCGCCGTGGCTGACTCAGCATGCAATGCCGCTAAGGGCTCGCTAGTGTTGCGCCGGCGCTGATTGGCTCGCTGATTGTCATCCACTGCTTTACCGAGACTGGCATTACCGCTTTGGGCCTTGCCCGTGACATCAACCCTCCTGGTGCGTGTACCTTCAGTACCGTGGCATGCGGTGGGAACCCATTACCATTGAGAAAAAAAGACTCGGTTGTTATGATGCGTTCAATGGCATTTAGATTCATTATTCGCGTTTCACCTGTTCGTGTGTCTTATCAAGGACAGCCCTAGCTAGCCCTATCTACTACGGTATAACTATGAATAACATCGTGCTCTATGTAGAATGTAGATGTCCGCCAGAATTAAAGATAGGATCCTCAAGCTGCATTGGGAAAATTACTTAATAGCCGTAACGGTAGGTCACCGCCAGATCTCCCTGGTCCTGTTCTTCATCTTCTCGCAGCTCCGCGGGGGCGCCATTGGCCATGACCCGGTCTCGTCGCTTGTTCTCCGCCCAGAGAGCCACAAAGTATCCAATGCAGCAGGCCGCGGAGAAGCAGATGAAGGACAGACTAATAATGTAGCCATTCCGATACTCAGGCGCATCTTTGGCTAGGAATGCATATGTGGAGATGATACCTCCCGCTGGTAGATAACCCATGTTAGCAGCGTCATCTATTTAGGCTTTTGTGTCGACGTCACTTACTGTTCCCGAACCCAACCTGCCATGCCGTGCCCACGCTGCGCCTGCGATGACCCCCTAGGTTCATAGCAAACCAACATACAATAACCGGCATCGCACTATAGCAGCCACAGGTCACCATGAAGAGCGCGCCGTATTGGACGTGTCGATGAGCCTCTCCGTGCACATTCAATAGTATTCCAAATCCAGCCATAGCAATTGCTGTAGGAATCAAAGTGAAAGCCAGCCGATGTCTGGTTAGATCAGAAAACGTTGCGATCACCATCGAGAATGCAAACGCAGCTGCCCATGGTGGAATCGAGTACAGTTGGGTTTGGATGGCTGGTACAAAAGCTCAGTATACAGCGTATTCAGTGATAACATATACATACTTCCGTAGCCATAGGTCTTGATAATAGTCGGGGCGAAGAAAGCATATCCTGAGCTTGTTAACATATACTACTTTCCTGGTACTCACGGATTGAAACGGAAATCAAACTTACCATATGCTGTGACAACCTGCCCGAAGTACATAAACCCGCCAAGGAAGATCTTGTCTGTTATTCAGTCAGCATATGCAGGAATGTATGGCGCCTTCTGGCACTCGCATGTACTTACAGTCCTTGAAGACGGCCAACACATCGCGACAACCCATACGAGCATCGTGCCCAGCTTTCCCTGCATCACGGGCCAGCTTAGCCCGTATGTACGTTCGCTCTTCCTCATTAAGCCACTTGACATCCTCTGGGAACCCCGGGATGATAAAGAACCAGACAATGGCAACCACGCAGGTGATAACTCCCTCGATAATGAAAACCCACCGCCAGCCCCCGTAGCCTCGAAGTCCGGCCATCTTTCCTAGACCGCTGGCAAGCAGTCCGCCGAAGGCGCCCGCTAGCGTGGTCGAGCTGAAGAAAAAGCTAAAGCGCTTCTGTGCCTCACTGCGCTTATACCACATGCCCAAAAGATAGAAGCCTTGGAGGCACTCTGTTAGCGAGAGGTCCTTCGAGCTGGAAAAGAGACCACTCACATCCAGGGAACATGCCCGTTTCAAACATTCCTGCGTCAATATTAGTTTTATGTCGGTGAATATGAATTGCCTTCATACCCAGGAACCAGCGTGTAGTCATCAGTCCACCCCAGTTTGAGACTAAGCCCTGACATATCGTGACGAGGCCGAACCCGAACATACAAAAAGACACTGTCATCATCAGCAACCCTATAAGCAGTGTATAACGGTGCTTATGGTCGTGGGATACATACACCATACATGAGGTTTCAACTTCTTCAGCAAGATATTGGATGGAATTTCGAATATAACGTAGGGCACAAAGAATATAGTGAGCGCGGTATTGTACTTCGTCCCCGTAGCGATGTTGAGGTCCGTCTCGAGCCCGAGTACGGCCGCATTGCTGATGTTGACACTATACCAGGCACAAACTGTTATGAAAATGATATCCTATTACCAAGACAGCAGGAGGCACATACCGATCCAGGAAAGCAAGCAGATACAGGACGCAGAGACACGGGACGATGTGCCAGTCAATCTTGGCCATGAGCCTGCGCTCCGTGGTTGTGGTGAGAGGAGGAAGATCTGATGTGAGCGCTTCAATGTGGCCCTCGGGTTTCAATCCGGGGTCGGGCTGAGGAGAGCGATCTATTGACTCTGTTTACGCAGCCTGAGGTCACTATTGTCTTCGTGAGACCTCGATTCATATGAACTGTACCTTCGGATGACCCCATTGTGACTGGTGGGCGGAAATATGGATATCGTTGTATGCTTCTGTGTCTCTGAGCTAGATTGCGACACGATGGATAGAAATGTTGTGGCCGAATTACTCCAGTTGAGAAAGGGTGTCCTCCCGACAGATATAAGGTGCAATAACAATACTCGAGAAGCAAGGGATGTATGTCACGAAGAGCGCGTAAACAGGCAAGATAAGGTGCAGAGACACTATTTCAAGGAGAGGACCACAACAATTGGCCACGCAGAGGGGAGCAGGAAGAAGAAGAAGAAAAGACACCGCACAAGAGGGGCAAGCAGGGGTGCCAGACAAGATTGATAGTGAATACGGACTGCTTTGACGGCGGCTGACGAACCATCCAAGCTAACCAATCGCCTATACAGGCCGCTGTGATGAACACGGCAGTGGAGGAGGACCAATTAACTCATTGACTCGGGAGGCCTTACATTAGCGAGGGAATGAGACGGGTCGGATACATCCTACCCATTTCGGCCTAATCCGCAGGTCAGATAGCCTGACAGGCTGGGCATTGCTTAGCATGATTGTCCGATCCATGGTGCCTCCCGACTATGCCTCTCGAAGGTTTCATCCGGCCGTCCTATCTGTATAGTCTGAGGCCATGATGATGGCTTTATCTGGGTTGGAACCAAAGATGATACCAGTTTGGACGGATGTAACATGCCGAGGGGGAGAAAGTTTAGGAGGAATGGAGGAGAACATGCCGGCTGTCAGCTCCATCCAGTCTGCACATTTCCTGTCCCGGGATTCACCGACCTAGTCTAGAAGGAGTAGAGAGTAAGCAGTAGTAGAGAGTACTTAGGTATTTTTAAGCAATAGTCCAGCCATGGCCAACTAACTCAAGTGGACTCCAGTAGAAGATTAGTAGTAGATAGTAGCCGTGCCAAACCCACCTTTTTCCCCGCAGATCCCTTCCTTCGCTAAGCTTATCTACCCCACAATCGGCAGTTCTCGAGCAGTTCGTTCCCCAAGCTTCAGGCATAATAAAATGGAGAGTTATAGACATCACAACGACAATAAAGTATCTGCGCGCTGTGGAAATTTCCTGCTTTCGGGCCACTACAGAATCCATAGGTTGCAACATAAAGCCAAATGCACAATGGAGGTCCAATGAGAGAGCAAGAAGATATGGACCGGGTGGCACAGATGCCGTATCCAGTCTCACAACCTGCATAAGTGCGCAAATAGAACTAAGTCTCCGAAGCTGCTCGGAAAAGAGTGTCATGTCTAATCATTTGGGTCCATGCGTGGCACTGGTCAGCCACGTGCTGCCCTTCATTCGTCCCACGTCCCCCCAACATCCTGAGGATCATTTGAGAGGACGCGTACGATGATACTTTCAACTTTCAGTCTAGCAATATGCCCGTCCTTCCGGTAATGGTTCTAGAACACTCATAACCCATATAAGCTAGCTTGTCATAAATAATAAATACTCGCCACCACGAGCTATCATACAATCGTACTATCTCTCTCCCAGTCCGCGCCGAGAAGAGACTCCGGATAGATGAGGGACCATTTATGCCACAGATATTCCCGAAATTCCCAAACCTTCTCTAGAAAGTCCACACACGATCATCACACACGGTCATTAGCTCGACGGTTAATCATCCACAGCCTTTCCCCAAGCCTTCTCAAATGCCGAGTCATCGTCCACTGCTACGACTGATGCTTCTGGAGTAGGTCCTTCTTCGTTGGCATCCTCCTTCTCAATCATCTCTGGGGCAGGTGATGTAGGAACATCAAAACCCGCCTCTAGACCCGATGGCTGCGTCCTTGAATCGGTCCCGAGCAGCTCAGAGTCAAAGTTGGAGCTGTATATAACAGCTGCAAAGGCCTCTAGCTCTCGTACCCCCTGTTCAATGGAGGTCAGATACAGGTTTGGGGGAGCTGTCCCATTTCCGATCACATGGGCTTGTCGAGCCAGGACGGCCAACACATTTGCCAGCTTCGTTTTCGTGTCGGAGCCGTCAGCCGCGGGGACGACCGTGGCGACCGAGTCGAAGGACTGAGGAACAGATGTGGGCACCTGCGTGGACGATTTGAACGCATCGGCCTTGCATTGGTCAATTAGAGTTTGGAAGCATTCGTTGTTGAGGAGTAACATAACACGAATGAAAGTCGGAGAGTCGATCAGATCGGCCGTCTCGTCCAGGAGATGGCGCAGCGACGCTGTTGTCTGAAGTGTCGCGGGTTCCGTCACTCCAAGAACCCCGGACTCCTGCAACAGATAGTCCTCCTCTTCTCGCGAGGGGAGCACATAAGATAACCACTTCCGATGCCTGTTAGAAGAATAACGGGTCAGCATCCGGCCAGTGAGACTTGCTCATAGAAAACGTACTTCCTGTCCTCCTCGGTCTTGCCCTCTATCTTCCCACGGACTTGCAGGATCAATTCCGACAGCTTGCTCAGCGAGATGTCCTCCCGGGGATTCAAAGGTCCAAACACCTCCGTCACGGCGGCCTGCACCTCCTCCATCAACTGCTTCCAGCCTCGGTGAAGCAGCCACCAACTGAAGGCAAGGTATCTCCGATTTGTCTCAAAGTCATGTCCAAGTGTTTGCGTGAGGTCGTCATCATCGTGATCCTCAAGTCGAATAGTTGAACCATCCGCAGGGGGTGTGGCCATGGAGATTACGCTGGAGAGGTAGTTGCGTCGGCCGAGCAGGTTAAGTTGAATTCGAGTGAAGATGGTCAGCAAGGTCAGGGTATAGATGAGCGTAAACGACCTAGTGATAGCTATGATGGTCTGTTAGACTCCTTGGTTCCTGTAAAAAAACGACGATACGTGATAACTCACAGGTTATCTTGACCTCGTTCCACAGCTGGGTCTTGTTTCGCTTCGGACGTGATGAGCCACCCCCCTCGATGGTCGACTCCTCTAATTGACTCGTACGGACAAAGCCATCGCTTTGGAAGCTAGACAAGCTACGCCGATCATCATCCGTTATACTGGGGCCCACCGAGCTTAGATCCGAGCCTGTTCCTTCGCCAGCGTTAAGACGAGCCAGTCGTTCTGCACGCTTCTTCTGGAGCTCCTTGGTCAATTCTTCCACGGGAAGTGCCTCGAGAATATCCTCCGCCGCCGTCGGTAGTAGGGCTAGCACAGTATAGGTACAGTCGGTCTGGTTTTGTTCGAAGCGTCGCCGCAAGCTGGACAAGAGGCAATAGCCGTCAGTTACCGTTTCCGAGCACGCGAGCAAGTCACATCGATGAAATTAGAGGAGGTAAGGGAGGCTCATCACTTACTTCTCCCGAGCAATGCGGTCACTACTCATGCGCTCGCGCGCCTCTGAGATCTTGGACAGCAGGTACTGGCCTGCGAGATAGCCCGCTCCGATCACGCCAGCTCCGATCGCAAGGCCCTTGCGATTGCGCCGGAACCAGCGCTTAGTGGCACTGATCATTATGGAGCAAAGAGGATCGGGAACAGTTTCTCAGATATAGGGAGCAGTACAGTTCATCGTATGAAGTGAAATAGAAAGGAAGAAAAGGAATAATGGAGGTTGGGAATCACAAGGAAAGCCGAAGAGACGGCGTGAGTGATGGAAGAGCGACGGCAAGCACGGTCGGGGATCGAGGGTCCCTGGAGCGGCCTCGGCTAAAGAGCAGCCAGCAACACGTATGATCGTCACCAGCGGATCAGGCTATGGCGGATGCGAGGATATATGGAGGTCTGTAGATTAGTAGTAGCCAGAAAGGAACGAATGTGAGCTAGTTGTTGGGAAGGCCAAATAGCAATAGTTTGTGCCACTTCATCCCCGCAATTAGTTGCATCATCGTTATAAGTCACGGTGGTTCTGCTCTTTTCATTTGCATCTCGGCCTGATTCTGTCCGACCATGAATGCGAACCAACCTTAGGCAGCCAGGCCAGTGCTGGCCAGGTACCGCCAATACCAGACGATACGGGTGCGGATGCCCCCTATCAGGGCTGATAAGGGATAAGGAGAACAGCCATCATACCGTCACAGGCGAGGGGCACCCCATCATTACATACACGCCATGACTCCCCATTATTCTTCCCTTCATCAACATCATCATCTCTATCTCTCTCTCTTTCTCACTTTATCTTCTCTCTCTTTCTCCTCCATATATAGCCCCCCCCCTCTCACCTTCACAATCATAAAATACACATGGATTGTATCTCCAGCAGATCATGCCTCCCTCATAACCCGTTCTCCATGTCAACCTCTCCACACCGGTCCTAGTCAATCAATCCCGCTCTGTCCCCCTCCCCCGAACGCCAGCGTCATCGTCATCACCGGTTCCCACCCCTTCAACCCCAGACTTGATCTGATCCATCCTTCGACTGAACACCTCGGAACCTCTTCCCCACTAGACAGCTCAGCTCCCACTCAACTGGACAGTCACTTGTTGCCTGTCGATCGCTGAGTTCAGTTAATTACTCTACACATACATAGGGTGGCACCGGTCGCTGTCCCCATCAAGATGGAGCCCCGCAAAACGCCCCCGGAGTACTTTCTGGAGATCTTCGCAGATACAACCAACGTCCGCGACGTGTTGAAAGGTGAATCAGTTCTTCTCTTCTCTTCGCTGAGCTTTTCCCTATACAACTACAATATTCAAATACTAACATCCCCTCGACACAACCAGGTATCCTCAACACCATCTTCTTCCACCGATACTTCCCCTCTATCCGCCCCATCACCTTCGACGTCCTCGACTTCACCCTCCCCGCCATCAACGACGTAGACCTCGAAACCCTCATCGACTCTCGCGTGAGTTCCCTCGTCCGCCAGCACTCCTCAGCAGCCAGCGCCCCCGATGGCGGCGGTGGCGGGGGTGTCCGGGCCCGAATGGCTGTGGAATTCTACGAAAAGCGACGTCGACGACCGGGAATCTGGTTTGGCGGACTATCAGGGAAGGGCGAGGAAGAAGTATGCTGGGAAGTGTGGAATTTGGATGTGACGATAGCCACTCCTCGAACAGAGTCTGGTATGGACGCCACCCAAACCCCCACACTCAACACCCATCCGCCAAGCTATTACCTCTCCATCCCTCCTGTACTGACATGTGATTGCCGGGTCTAGAACGCGCCAAAGTGCGCAAAGCAATGGAGAATATGCTTCAGAAAGCCGTCCTGAAGATTTTAGCCGTGGTTAGCCGCGATAAGGAGCACATTCCCCCGATTACTACGAGTGATTCGAATCCGTTCCCTTATCGCGTGGTTCTGAACCCCAGATCGGATGGTTGGCAGAATCGCTTCGGGTTATACTGATGCAGGCTAACCCTCCTATCCCTATCCTCCTCTACTACTTCTTCCCATCCCAGTCACACACACACACACACACAAAACATGTGCCCAGGCTACGGTTACCTGGACGCGAATATTGCTATGACATATATGAAACACGATGCGCAGGGCAGGGCTGGCGCGGCAGGGCGCACATCTGGGTTTCGTATGGAATGCTACCTATGTGCTTTGTCCAGGAGTAGCCCGCCGCCACCACCACCCTGGTCTATTGATTTCCATTCCGGCGTCGGTGGCGTTCACAACCACATCAACCAGCTTTGATTCTCTTGCAAGTGTATTTTACCCGCTTTCTTTGCCCCTTTTCGACATGACGTCCCCCTCCTTCAGATTTCGATCCAGAGGATGAAATGTTTCTTATACCCCCCTCATATCCACCACTTACATTTCCCGTTCATCTTCGACAGAGATGAGAAGAGATAAGGAAGGAATGGATGAATGAATGACCAGAGGGTCAAGTCAAATCAAGTCATTGACAATTGCTCAATTTTACCAAGAAACGGAGGCATAATGCATCAAAGTATAGCTATAATAATAATAATACCACACAGCTATGAGGGGAGAGAGAGCACGGTGGGTGTCCTCTCCCTTTCCAAACCAACCAATCAACGCAAAAAGATTCAACACGCAATTCTACTTAGATTCAAGTCATGGCAATGAAAAAGGAACAGCATGAAAAAGCAACCACACACACACACACACACACAAGGATAGCCCAATTCTCGCCTGACAAGGCTCAAAGTATCGTATCGTATCAATCAATCCATCACACCGCTTCATCCAGTTACATCGAATATTTTTTCCAAACATATCGGCATTGCAAAATTATCCCGGAAGGAAGTCTTTCGTATTGCCTTTGTTTTGCAAAATTTCCCCCAAAAAAACATAAACCGAGACACAGTCGACTGAGTCTGTGAGTTGATCGAGATCAAACCCACAAATTCACCCCGAATTCACGGTTTAGCTATTTACTGGTCCTTGGCGGCAGCCTCGGCCTGAGCGCGGAGGTTGGCCGAGGTGGAACCGCCCTGGAAGAAGCGGCCGAGCACGGGCTGGATGAAGGAGTGGAAGACAATTTGGGCACCGCTGGAGAAGAGGGTTAGTTGGGTTCTTGGTAATTGCGTGACTGCGGGAGGTGGATAGCTTACTTGGTCTGGGGGAGAGACATCCAGAGGACAAGGGCGAACTTGAAGATGTAGTAGAAGGCTGTATTGTAGAGTCGCGATCAGTCCATGAACGTTCCACTGCCAGAAATCATATCGATCCTTGCGAGTACTTACGGAACCAGTAAGGAGCAGAGATGGCGCTCTCAATGACGGTGAAGAAAGCGTAAACAACCCAGTACTAGAAGAATCACATGCCAATCAGTATAACCGCTAGCTGACGAATGCATCTTGTCACGTGCAGAAAGATAACCTAGGCGTGTGGAACACCCGAGTTATGTCGAGATAACGGAGGGATCATCGAGTAACATACCGTCAACCACTAAACGCAGAAACACGATCATCAGCACAATTTTTATCTTCAAAAAAATAGTAGGGAATAAAAAGATAGAGCATACCTGCGTGTCATCGGCCTTTCCGGCGGTGAACAGAGCGTTCAGGGAGTAGTATCCAGGGATGAGGAAACCAGCGAGGTTGACGAGGAATTCACCGGCGATGTTGAAGAAGACCAGGAAGAAGTAGATGCCGACGAGGCCAAGGATCACGTAAACCTTGGGGACGGAGGTCTGACGCTCCAAGTTGTTGAGGACAGGGTACTTGGAGAGCTAAAGTGTGAAGAGGAGATGGTTAGTTTTAGCTTCGAAACTGGCGGCGGCTGAGAAATATGGGAAGTAGGCAGAAATCGGAGAACAACAACACGACTTCATCCCCATTCCCCCAGCTGCGAAGACTCCATTCCGCGACAAATAGACATTGTAAGACAGGAAGAGAAAAGACTGATACAATGCCGACAGGAAGGAACCTCTTCGCAGACCGATTGGGGGGGGGGTGGACAGGGAGGAATAGGACACAAAACCAGAAAACGCACACACGACTTACCTCCTTGTCGAGCTGGGCAATGGCGTGCTGAGCACGATCCTGGAAAGAGGCCATTTTGGAGGGAAAATGAAGATAGCAGAAGCTGTACTAAGAGAAGAATGAAAGATCTGGCTTCGTAAACTCTTGAGAAAGGGACAGCGAAAGTCGGATTCGGTCGTTATCAGGGCGCGGCAGAGGGAGAAGAGGAGGACGGACGAGCAGGTGAGATTCGAAAGGACGAGCTGGCGGTTACGGAACCGCCAGCCGGGATGACGGTGGGGTCACGTGATGGGCTCATGACGTCGAGGGCTGGCCATTTGATTGTCCCCAGATGACGTTCCGGCAGGGCAATCTGTTTGACCGGAATAGTAGCAGATGAGAGAGTTAATCATCACAGTGTGGATCAGATGGGGATGTTGGTCGTGTGCTTGATTTCTTATGATTTTACCCTTTTTGCTACTTATACAGGGTATGTATGAGTTCTGGAGGGAATTACTTTCCAGACAATTCGATTGATACACTCGGTATCAGCGATGTACTACTAGTACTCTGTACTATAAGTGTATGGTACGGGGGGTCTCGTCCGGGCCCCGACGGCAGGGCTTTTTTTTCCTTTCTGTGCAGCGCTCTTTTTTCTGCTTTGGGGCTCCACTGCGGCTGGATTTATCCCTCACATTAAATAGTGAGTTATTGAATAATATTAGTTATTGGACGACTCTGATATGGCTATACATAGTACTTATATCTACTGTTTTAATTTCCCAACATATGTGTGAGCACACTATCCCGATGTTGAATCATAGTAAACAAACACTCCAACCACCAAAAAGTATCTTATAAGTAGGTAGTAGATAGAGAAGGGTATCTATCTGCCGACCAGGACAAAACTTAGGGCCTGCTTGAACCTAGTCGTAGTAACTAAGGAAGTAGGTACATGAATTCTGCATCTGCATTCATCCCCCATCAACCAATGATCGAACCTCCTTCTCCTCCCCAGTAATAAAGCCCACCTTCTATACATAGTTTAGAGAGAGAGAGAAATCAACCCGGGAGAAAGAAAGAAGATCCATTCCCGTCCCCATCCAAAGATCGAACGAATCCCGATCGCCTACC